TATTGTACCACTCAGTGATTAGTGTTGTGTTCTGTACGACACTACTGCTAAGCACATCAGAGAAAGCAGTATAAGAACTGTGTCAGGAAGTAGTATTATTTCTAGTTTTGTAGGATGACACTGTGAGTTCTAGTTTGTAGGAATGGAGGCGTAGCAAGACTAAATATCTCGTCCTAGGTTATATGGTTCTGAGAATAGTACTGAGACTCTAGGCTGGTGTTTCACCCACCAGAACCAGCTTCCTCTGGTCTTTTCTGGTTCTTTCCTTTGGAAACGTGGGAAGTCTCCTAATACTACAACTACAACAACAACAAGATAAATCTGAATGTTCTGGGATATGGAACAGCTAGGTGCTTTCCATTCCTTTTCATGGAATCAAAAGCTCCTTGTAAGATGTAGCAGAGAGAGAACTACAACTGTACAAGCCAGGCATTTGTTAGGAGGAAGAATCAAAAAGAGAGACACAGGACATGCAGAATCCTAAGAGGAATTATGCCCGCTATCATTCTGTCATAGTATGATGCTATTTTTTTTCTGACACTGCAGACAGAAATAAAAATATTGGTGTTTGAAACACATTGATTCCTGCCACAACAGGAAATCTGGCAGAAATCTGAGCTGAAGAAAACAAATTTGAAATGCAGACTTAAAATAGTTTGCTGCTGAGTTAGTAAGTTAAATCAACTCACATAAAAGTTGAGGAAAGATTGTGTTGGAGTAAGGAAGAAGATGGCCAGTAGCTGAGGAGCAGGGCCAGTGGAAGGGAAGAGGGAGCACGCAAAGGTACAGCAGCAAAGGGACAAAAGGCAGTTAAGTTTTTTTGCCTTTTTAGTAGCAGTCACTCAGGAAAACACAGCCAGAGGCTGTGGTTTGAAATTGCAGCATGTGTAGCATGTTCATGTTCATGTTCAACTTCATGTTGCCATTCCCTCCACCCCTTCCACTCACTCCCAGCAGCTCTTCTTGCCTAACACCGTGGCCTACTGGCCCACAGTCTTATCAGTGTGGAAGTTCATATGGCCTCCCTGTGATGAAGATCAAGGAATTAATCCATCTGATAAACAATCCAGCAAAGCAAAACATTTGTTTCTTCATCAGCTAAAACAGTGGGCCAGTCCAGTGCTGAGCATGGCTGTGCAAACAACTGTGCTGGCTCAGTGCAGGCCCCGGAGTTGGAGGCACCGTGTTGAATGAGGTAGGAGAGGGATACAGACAGGATAAAAATGAGCAGGAAGGAATTATATCAGTATTAATGCCCTAAACTAGTATTGCCAGTGGGCAATTCATTGTGCCAAACCACAACCAAGGCTTCTAAACAAGGATGTTCTTTTTCATTGTTCATGTTCAGGATAAGAGCAAACACACTATGTTTTACCAGGAATATACCAGGGTGTCATGCATGATGAATTTGTAAAGGCCTCAAATAATTACTGCCTTTCACAGAAAGGACCTTGCTTTAAAACAATAAAAACAGTATTATGTAAGGGAAAATTCCTCCACAAAATTCAAACTGTTGCATGATGTGATGGTCTGCCTTTGGAATGAAAGAAATCTATAGCACAAAATGGCATGCCATTGGTGGGAAATAACCTTCTGGCTGCATACCGGGCTTCAGTGAGCTCCACCAATGTTTGCACATATAGTAAAGCGGGCAACATGACTGAACAGTGATCAAAACTGAACAGTGATCTGGGTTTCTGTCTTTCTCCTGTTGGACCGATGCCTGTTTTGTGAGACATGCAACCAAGGCACAAGGGGCTAATTTTACTAATTGTGTTGAGAAGGAAAAAAAAAAAATCCATTACAAATTTCACTTATATTAATTGGAATTTTATTTACTCACAGTACCACCTCATATAGTTAGCTAGATGGAACATACTATAGCACACCAATGTCTTATTGCAGTTGCTAAAAGCACAAAGGAGCCATGTTGACAGAGATTGTCCTGGACAAACCCTGCACTGGCAAACAGACTTTTGACAACAAGACTGAGAACTTGATTTCGAACATACCGGTTTTGACGTGCATACCAGTACGATGTTTTTTCAAGTCAGTCACGTTATTGTGTAATGTTCTGTGGATGATCTTCCACAAATTCCAGCTCTTCTTTACAAAACTGTTCTTTGCTTCAGAACAGGTCTCTATCCAACAGTTTTGCAAGTGCTTCATGTTTCACAATAGAAGCACTTAGACCTTCCTACCTTCTAAAACTGCTATTGTTAAACCATTTCTCCAGGTGATAAAGATCTTATTGAATCCTAAGCTTATCTTCCCATGTACCTGCAGCTCCTCCCAGCTGCATACAGTTTATCCCATTTGGATGCTATGACAATGAGTCATTAATAACTATTTTACTGCAATACACAAAAGCTTCTATCATGACATAGGCAGAAATTATGCCTGACAAATCCATGTTGTAATGTCTCATTCAGTCTTCTATCAGATAACAGTGAGGGAATGATTTAGTCAGTTTGCTGCTCTGTCTTTGTGCATGTGTGTGTGTAAAGGAATAGACTGGGGTTTTTTGTCTGTTTTGGACAGATTGTGGAAGCTGTTTATACCGTGTATTAAACACTCAGTCCTTGGAAAGGATGCAATATGTAGGGCAGGGACACGACAAACTGTAAGCAGGCATTACACTAATGATGCAACACACAATAGGTTTGAAATCTTTACCACACAATAATTATATTTTTTTCTGGCACCTGTTGCAATGATCTTAACAAACAGATTTGATTAAACTGTTCTGATCCCTGTGAACGTGACACAGTTGTCACCTTTATCTTTCAACTGGGGAAAGCTCAGGGACAATGAGAGTCAGGGTTGACTCTGTGTACCAGAACTGCCACTTTCAAATCAAGTAAAAGAAGTCTTGTGAGGAAGGAAATGTTGGTAGTTGGATAGCAAAGAGATAGCAAGTTTTCCAATCATCACAACAGAAGAGCAGCATTCCTCCTGCTAATGTGTGGATTGCTGAGAGATGAGGGAGGAGTTTTTATATGTTGTCATAAAGATTGAACCTCCACAGAAAATTATCTGCAGAACACTTTTAAACCCTACTTCATTATCCCAACTTACAGTTTTAAGCCTGCTACTTTCTTTCCCAGATGATGTGTCTAAATTGCCATAATTGCCAAGACATCAGAAAATATACATCTTGCATAAACAAGTAAAGCTGCCCAGCACAGCTTGTCCACTGAAAAATGCCTTGTGTTTCAGACCAGTTTGTCTGCACCACACACTACAGTATTCCTTGTCATGGGGACAGGCTATGACCAAAATGTGGGTTCTTAGCAGCACACAGAATGTATGCTGCTGTTCAAAACATTCATCTACAACCTGCAGTCACTCATGGCTCAACTCTACAAGGTCTCTCAGTTCACTGAAAACATATCTCCCTAAACTGTACATCATGCTGATACTGTATCACTCCTTTGCCACAAAAACTTATGCAAGCATCTGTCAGCCTGGTGGGATTCTTGGAAAGGATGTTTTTAGTATATGGCTAATTCAAATACAATGGATTTGGCTATTCAAATACATAGAGCAGATAGATGTGAAATTATCTCTGAGTTAGTGGCAATGATTAAACTATCAGAAAAAGGGAGAAGCGAAGTGCAATGATGTGACCAATTCTGACCTTTAAATCTGCAGTAGGATGTGGGACCAACCATAGCAAGAGCAAGAAATGTTCTCAGAGATGGAGAGTCTGAGATGTGACTTGTTTCCTCATCTGGGCCTTCCAAATTAAAGATCAATGCATTTACAAGCCTAGGTTATATGACCAGAAAACTTTGTATAGCAAATAGCCAAGTCAAAGCCGAGCCAACTTTATAGAAGAGAAATACAATCTGTAAGAGAAAATGGCAATGACAAGCTAGGTTGGTCAGATGGGGACAAAAGTGTAGGTACCTTCTGAACTATGTTGAAAGTCATTACCATTAGTCTTACCTCATTAAGCTTCAAAGAGTTACCATTACTCTTGCCAGTGTCTGCAAACAAGTTCAAATGACTGTGTAGATAATAAGATGGTGAAAAATCAAATGACCCTGTAATTAACTGTCAGGGTAGTGGCTGTCCTGAATATCAGAACAGGTGAACAAAAATACAGTGCAATTCTTTGGGTATGATTTTGTTGTGAGGTAAACCCCATTAGCCTAATTTTCAGGTGAGGAAATTATAATTAGAGGAAAAAAAAAAAAAACAGATTAATATTCGCCAAGTTTAGTTTCTAGCAAAATGCTCTTAGCTGTTCCTTACTGCTGCAGTACACTTTTTACAAAATAAAGCAGCTTTTAACAGTGTTGCTATTGTGAATTGAACCTCCATAGTACAGGAGTACACTTCTCTGTATGGACCATATAATTTATCTTTCAAATTTGTCCTACTAGATATAAAATAATCACGTTGGCTTATAATAACTGTAAACAACTAAAGGATGTTTTTATTTTTGTCTAAGAAAACTTTTAATAAAGGTACTTCTGTATCCAGAAGTCATAAAACAGAAGATCCATACCTCTGATATCCTTTTACATCAGTCTCTCTCCCAAAGTAGTTAGGATTTTTATTCTGTCTGGGTCCATGAGTTGCCAATTAAGTTTGCTTCCCCTCATCTCCTTACTCTCCTGACAAACATGATTGTGGGTTTGGTGTCACGGTTTTGGGTGGAAGTTCAACCTGATTGAGTCAATGGTGATTTTTCCCAGCAATTTCAGTCAAAGAATAATTTCGGCCAGTCCCATTCCTACAATTCCCAGTTCTGATATCACATTATTAGACACTTTGTACCCTGCCTATGCTGCACACCGAACAATGAGGAATCAGCCTCTTTTACAGTCATGACCTCAGATTTGCTGCTTAAGTTTTTCAACATGCTTTGCAATCTTTATTCTGAGGAAAGCCTAGGAGCCAAGTACCAGAAATGCAGACACTACTAGTGCATTTCAGGAAAGAACACACACAATTCAAACACAGCAATATATTTTAATCTGCGTGAAATCCATCTGTAGAAGGTCAGCTATGCAATGTAGCACATGTAGAAATAAGTGCAATTCCAATGTTCCTATAATGTATCTGATTTTTTTTTCACATATAAAGCAGCTATTCAGTCAAATTAAATATATACAGATCTCAGAGCTATCATTGCCTGATGCTGCACCTCTGGATCAAAGCCCTGTCTTGGCTACATCCAAACACTTTCCCCAGTTGTATTTCTTTTTTTCCTGATAACCTGGTTGCCAAGCTACTAGTTGAAGATAACTTCCTAGTGTTAGTGTTAACAGTTTTGGTGTGTCTCATTTCAAGTTCCATCTGAATTCAAAGGCAGGCAGAGAAAACAAACTCTTTCCCTATGGTTAAGTTTATCACTGGCCTTTTCTAGCTGCAGGGCTATCTTAGGCAGCATATTTGATTTCAAGTGGAGCACATATGTGACCTTCCACTATGAGCTCAGGAAACCTCAGGGTAACAGGCAGTGTAACCAGTGGAAACACCAACCTGCAGCAGAAGGCTAAAATCCTTACACTAACCCTTGGCTACTGAGTAGAGTATCGGTGTATACATTTTCCATTATGGCACATTAAGTAACATTTTTCATTAGACACAATAAGTAACACACAGCACGTACAATACAGAAAACAGACACCACAGAAATGCTTTAACCATAATTTCAGGGAGAAAAAAAAACTTGTTACAAAAGAAATGTAATACTAGAGCACAGGGACTAGTTTGCTCTCTCCATACTTGTACATGGAACAATGCAGGAACTCTATCAAGCACAAACCTGGTATGTGCCAAACTGTGTTCTTTGGAGTTGAATTAAGGATGTTTTCATAGTCCAAGTTTCCAGTCCAGCTCATTATGAATGACCTTCTATATTTTTTTCATGGTTCTGAGGATGGTGTTTTTATGGTTTTCTTGCTTCCCTCTTAGATGACAGATTTCCATCTGCAGTCAAGTTGTAACACTGGATGTAGCTCACAAGCAAGGGAAGCCCGTTTATGATCAACTTTCAGTGCACAGTGAAGGGTCATGGCTCTTAATTAATGAAGCTTTGTTTACTCCAACAGTGACAAACTTAAATGTACAGTAAAAGATAAATTCAAATAGAGAAGCTGAGATAATGCTCATTCATTTTGGGGAAAAGCCAGTTATTAAAGCTAAGGAGAAACAGCCAGTTTTCTAGAAGTGGGTTCAATGGGCAGGCACTTGGGAGATAAACTGTGTTGCCCTAATATGCCAGATACTGCCCATTACAGGCATAAAACACTTTTTGAGACTACTTTGAGACAAGACTAGACTGACTCATATAGTACTTCAAATAAGTAATATACAATTTAGAGCACAGCAGAGTGAACTTCAAGAAAAAGATCAAGTTCCTCCTCATTTCTGATTGGGTCCCTTTACTATTTTAGCTCTGCAAGCTGTCTGTAATTCCTGCTAGACCAACTCTAAGAAAAGGAATGGTGATTTAATCTCACAATGTGGAATGTCAGAGACTGGGAGTGGTTTGCTCAACTCATTTGAAAGGTACCTCAGATAGGGAGAAGGTTTTATGAAGTAAAGCTGTGCAGGCCACATAGAAAAAAAAAGAGCAATGAAAGGAGCACTGGATATCATGCTGCAAGTTGAAGCACTTCCTTTGGATAACCAAAATAATGAAGAAAGGTTTTTTTCTTGGTTTTATTGGAAAAAAAAAAGTTTTAAAAGTATATAGCTGAGTGAGGCACAGGTGGTAAAATGTCTCTCCATCAGGTAAAGTCTACTGTACTGAGATATCTCACAACATATTGGGGGAGAACAAGAGAAGGAGGAAGACTGTTGCACTGCCTTCACTCACCCAGAAGTGACAATCCTTTTTCTCATCTGATCTAGAGAATGAAAATGAACTTCATTCCTCCCACTGGTGTAGTCTCTGTGACTGTGGGGAGGCAGCATTGACCTAATGGCGTTGACGGGCTGTTGAGACTTACCACCCCCAGCCCTTAAGGAAATACTTCTCAGGCAAGGAGAAGAAAAAAACATGTTAGTGCCCAGAAAAGCTGATATGCACTGCCAGAGTACCTGTGGTTCTACACCATTTTTGTGCTCTCCAGATGTGATGTGCCCCAAAACAATCCTTTACCCCACTTTTAACCAAAAACCTTTGATATTATTTTGCCTGAGCCAACACAGGGTTTTCGTGATTACTAGATCTCCTCTGGGCACTAGAGCCTTCTCTGGTCCTTTCCACTCCCACTGTTTGAAGAGTTAACTGTCCCAACAATAGGATCCGAGCAGCAGGCATACTTAGAGAAGCTGGTACCAGAAAACTGCTCTCTCTAATTGCAGATGCAGGAATACTGAATTAGCTTATGATCTTTAAAACCTGCTTCAGAATCGGCTTCCCGGGGAGGCTATCAGTTTTAAAACACAAAAGCACATTCATTTTTTTTATCCTTTTCCTTGAGTGTGAAAATATTGTTTATTGTTTTGTTACACCTAAAAAAGTTTAAGGGAAATGGGGAGCCAGTAAATCCTGAAACTGGGGACTTATTTCAAAACTGTTGTTTTCCTGGATTCTTTCATGCAAATTTTTATCACTAGGTAGCACAACTCAGCCAGATTCAACATCATGCAGATCCCAGACACAGCAAGCATGAAAATAGTAAATGTGGTTTTCTCAGTGGGCCGAGACACAAAACAATCCACGGTGTTGGGGCAGGGCCAAGCTTCACACTTCACCAGGCGGGGCATCTGGTAACCATCGTACATGTAATAGAAGACGTACATGAAGACGGCTTCAAAGACGATCCTGAAGAAGATGCTGCTGGTGTATGTCCACCACAGGGGGCCCCGAATGTGAATCTTTTCATTTTTTAGCTCTTCAATATCAATTTTCTCACCATTTCTGAACCGCCTTTTCTTCTCATGCCTGGTGTAAGCCACATGCATGGCCACCAGCAGCGCAGGTGTGGAGACAAAGATCAGCTGCAGGGCCCAGAGTCTGATGTGAGAGATGGGGAAAAAGTGATCATAGCAAACATTTCTGCAGCCAGGCTGAAGTGTGTTGCAGACAAAATCTTGTTGTTCATCTCCCCAGACTCTCTCTGCAGCCACAACCAGGATCATGATACGGAAGATGAAGAGTACTGTGAGCCATATCTTCCCGATACTAGTGGAGTGCTTATTTACACCTCCCAAAACAGCCTGCAGAGTTCCCCAGTCCATCTTCTTTTCTGTGTCCTTTTACCTGCAGGATGACACAATACACAGAACAGTGACTTTTCAAACTGAAAAAACAGCTCTAGACCTGTGAAAAAGTGAGCTTCCTAACAGTCTCTCCAGAGCCATAGGCAAGTCACTTTCGTTTATGTCACCCATATGATTATGGATTCAAACAACTTATTAAACTCTCTCCTTCCATCAGTTTATTATGGGACAAGCATACCTCAGTGTATTTCTCAACAAGGCTTTGGGCAGGAACTAAGCACATCTTAATACAGTTCCTCTGTACATCCTCTATGCTCTCCTTCCTTTTCTGTGGTTGACTCTGATCAGCATTTTGCCTTTCAGTGTACTTCCCAAAGCAAAAGAAATTACTATCACTGCATGAGTTAAGCCACATCTAGACAAAGCAGAGACTTCCCCAGCATTTTTACAGGATAACCCTAGAAGGCTGAACTGCTTTCTTTGTCCCAGAGGTAAGTACTACTTGGCCTTCTTCAACAGAAGTCCTTGCTCCACCCAGATACCTCCAGCAGGCCTCTAAGACTTTCTGTTGCAGCTCAGACAGGCACTTAATCTCAAAAGTACAATGTTTGAATTTGCCAGCACTGGTGAGAAGCCTCAAGCTAGCTCTGTCAGGGCTGCATGCTTATATAGCACAAACCAGCAGGCAAAGGCAGATAGAGCAGAGCCTGCCCTTCCACATTCATTGCTATGTCATCCAAAAAAGGAGGCAAGCACAGTCATAGAGTTGAGAAGAAAAAGCCCTAAGCTAAAGAGTTTATGTTGATTTTCTAGATGCTGTCACACTCCAGCAGAATACAGAAAGTCAAACATCAGAGAAGTTCAATTTCAGCTTTCCTCCTACTCTTAAAAACTAAAATCCAAACTCTTTGCCCTTTCAAAAGTAAGTTTTGTTGAAGTTCAGACTTCACTCTCAGGGCTCAGCTTTCACTGATTGCAGCCATTTGGAAACTATCACTGAAGCGGACAAAACACTTTGAAACCCGAGCTGGGAACCTGCATAGCTGGTCCATCTCAAGGCTAGACTGGGGAAGCCACACAGGCCATGGATAGAGCTCCATCTCCTCTTGGTGCTGGCTGTGCGCTGTGGGGAGAGCATGGTACCTTGCAAAGGAACACTGGCCAAAGTTCACGAAAATATCTCATTCTCACACAACAGAGAGGGAAAAAATAACTTTTTACCCTGGTGCAGTCACATCCCAACCAAAGGACAAACGTGCCCCAACACATACCATTGATACGAGGGCCTAGCTTGTACGGACAAGCCTGGAGGCAAGAGGGAGAGGTCAGATTTACTGTGATGCGGAAAGGTGAAATTGGGTAAGGCAAAAAAGAAAACAACTTTGAGAAGATGGCTGAAATTCCTGAGACTACTCATGTTTTGTCTCTGCTGAAACTGGTACCATTTTAAGCAATCGTTTAACACTGACCTAACCTGCAGACTATGATGAGATAGCTGCATCATTCCGGAAAGAATTTCCTTATGTCTGTCTATTGCATAGTCATTGAAATAAAGTCAATGAAACCTTCACAAGAAGCTAATCAGAACTGAAGGAAAATCAGGGAAGTGCATATCTGTGCTGAGATGAACAGCCTGGGTTCCAAGTGCCTTCTCACAATGCAGCTCTGAACCAAGGCTGCAAGTCTTGGCGGGGGTGGAAAAAACTTTTCTCCCCCTTATCTGCCGCTACTGAAACACTGGAATTGACTGCTAGGGAGCCAATCTACCCGGATCTGCCCAACTTGTCAACCGAGACGCCATTACTGAAAACCACTCCAAATCCCCACTTTGGGGTTAGCAACTGGATCCCAGCCTCTCCCTCCCTCCGCGCCGACCTTCTTTTCCTCCGAGTTCCCGCGCGGCTGCGAGCCTTCAGCGGAGGGAAGCGGCAGGACCGCCGTCCGCTCCCGTCGGCGGGCACCGCTGCCAAACACCGGCCTTGCTCGGAGGTCCGACGGCTCCTCCCGGGACGGGCTGCGCGGTCCGAACGTGGCGGCAGCCGCAGTCACGGCCCCCGGCCCGCTGCCCCGCCGCTCCCGCCTGCGCCCAAGCGCGGCTTGCCCGGGGTCGGGGCCGCGGCCTGGCTACCCCAGACCCTCCGGGACCGCCCCGACCCAAACCCTACTCTGGCACACGGCTCGCCACCCGCTCAGATGGGCGCACAACCGAATCCCAACCTCGGTCCTGATCCCACCGGTGCGGCACGCGGGAGCCGCTCCGGACCCTCACCCGGCACGGCTGGGCAGGACACGGGGAAGCCGCTCCGGACCCCCACACCGGCACGGCTGGGCTGGGCAGGACACGCGGGACGAGACGGGCGCGCTGCTCCGCTCCCAAGTCCGCTGGCGCCTGTGGAGCGGGCGGCCCCAGCCGCTCCGGCCCCGAGCTTTAAGGTCCCTCCCCATTCACCTGCCGCTGCTTTTAACCCGCCCCCGCCCGCACCCCGCTCCTCCGGCCGCCCGCCGAGGCGGCGGTGGGAGCCCGGGGCGGGGCCGGGCTGTGCCGGGGCTGAGCCGCCGGCCCTGGGCTCTGCCGTGCCCGCGGGGCGGGAGCTGCTGCGGACTGAGCGGGAATGGGGATGGTGCCCCCGCGGGAGCGCCCTCGGGGTCGCCCGGGACGCCCATGAGCACCGGGCGCGCATCGGGCGGAGCGGACCCGGTACCTCGCAAATACGGCCCAGTGCTGTGATTGATTCCCAAGTGTTGGTAGAAAACGTGTCCCGGAGGGAAATCAGTCCCGCGGGATACCCTGAAACTGCCCCTGAGCCGTGGCAGCCGGACAAAATCGTCATGTTGAGAAAGTTCGGAAAACGGTCAGATAAAACGCAGCTCACACAGATTTTTTCTAGGGTGAGAACAAAACCTCAGAGACCTTAGAAAGCCTGAGTTTGGAAGACAAGGAAAAGGTAAACTAGCTAATGAACTGATAACTTTCATCTGGGTAGCCAGATGTAGGGATAACAAGGGCATGAGGCAGCTAAGAGCGGGATAGAAGATGCTTGGTTTTCCTTTGAAAATAAATTCCTCACTAGGGTGCACAGCCTTGATTTCGCTGCTACTGCACAAAGGGAGTAGGGGTTAAAGTTGGTTTTGTGAGAGAAAGTAATCTAGCAGGAAGTATAAAGAGTGACTCAAATCAGAGTTATTTGCCATGTGAAGATCTGTCACTAGGTGTTATTTGTTTGGCGATTGAGCTCTGTTGTTCACAATTAAAAAAATAAGGAAAGTTTCTTCTTATTATTTTAAGATCCACCTACAAGGAAAGGTTTTGTGGATGAAGTCTAAGCCAGTCAGGCATGAATTACTTGCATCAGCACTAGAAGCCCTTAGCTTGGGCTTTGCTTGTAATGTATAAAGTATACCTAGTGTTGCTCTCAGGCTCAGGTTAGCCTCACACAGTCTGCACTTCACCCAAAGCATCCAAACAAGTATGACTTCAATTAAATGATGCTTGATTACGACTTAGTAAAGAGTCTTAGCTTTTCAAAACACTGACAAAAATTCCTATCAGAAATGAATGCTGTGTTAAAAAGGATGTGTAGGAAAAATAATTAACATTTGTCTGATTATAAAAAAGTACTGCTGAAAATGCTGTTTGTCACTGTATATTGAAGTAAAGCTCTGTATGTTACACTTAGTACTGAGCCTGGTTTTGTGACATGTGTCTGGAAGTAGAAATGCTTTCATCACTAGGAACTTAAATAATATTTAAACTTGATCTAGTAATTTGTATAGATAGCAATTACTAGAAACTCAAACTTGTGTGTGTATTTGCAAAATGACAAATTTATTTGGCTTTGCACTCAGAGGTTTAGAAAATTAAGTTGGACTTCATAGAATATTCTGAGTTGGAACGGACCCATGATGGCCATCAAGTCCATCTACTGGCTCTGCACAGGACACCCCAACAATCACACCATGTGCCTGAGAACATTGTCTAAACGCTTCTTAAACTCTGCCAGGCTGGTGCTGTGACCACTTCCCTGGGGAGCCTGTTCCAGTGCCCAAACACCCTCTGGGTGAAGAACCTTTTCCTAATATCCAACTTAAACCTCCCCTGATACAACTCAAGGCCCTTCGCTCAGGTCCTGTCACTGGTCACCACGGAGAAGAGATCAGTGCCTGCCCCTCCTCTTCACCTGATAAGGAAGCTGCAGACTTCGGTGAGGTCTCCCCTCAGTCTTTTCTAGGCGGAACAGGCCAAGTTACACCAGCTGCTCCTCCTACAGCTTCCCCTCAAGCCCTTCACCACCTTCATTGCACTCCTTTGGACACTCTCCAATAGTTTAATGTCTTTTTTATACTGTGGCACCCAGAACTGGCCCCAGCACTGAGGTGAAGCCGTCCCAGCTCAGAGCAGAGCAGGACAATCCCCTCCCTTGCCCGGCTGTGATGCTGTGCCTGATGCCCCCCAGGACAGGGTTGGCCCTCCTGGCTGCCAGGGCACTGCTGCCTCATGTTCAACCTTCTGCCAGCCAGGACCCCCAGGTCCCTTTGTGCAGCGCTGCTCTCCTGCATCTCATCCCCCAGTACATCCAGGGCTGCCCCATCCCAGGTGCAGAATCTGGCAGCTGTCCTTGCTAAACTTCATCTGGTTGGTGACAGCCCAGCCCTCTGATTTGTCTAGATCTCTCTGCATGGCCTCCCTGCCCTCAGGGGTGTTGACAGCTCCTCCCTATTTACTATCATTGGTGAACTTAGTATATCTTTGAGTCCTGCATCCAAGTAATTGATGAAGATGCTGAAGAGCACAGGACCTGAGATGGAGCCCTGTGGAACCCTAGTAGTGACAGGTCACCAGTCTGATGTCACCTCATTCACTGGAACCCTTTGTGCCCAGCCCACGAGCCAGTTGCTCACCATGTTTGCATGACATGTTTATCCAGCTGTGTGATGGACATTTTGTCCGGAAGGGTGCTGTGAGAGAATGAAAAGCTTCACTGAAGTCTAAGATCTTTAAATAATCTAAAAAGAAAGATCTTGAATAGTTAACTATGTTTCATGAAATGATACCCAGGCTTGGTACACAGTAATTGTAAATACTTGGAAGAAATTCACAGCCCTTGTTGCTCTGTACTGCCACAGCATTTTTCATTTACAACCAAACAAATTCTATGTTAAAACTGAGTGCTATTTTTAGTTTCCTTGATTTTTGTTTGCTTGCTCATGTATGTAATGCTTTATTTGGGAAGGAGAGGGAAATCCTAGCAAGGAATTCTGACGGAGCATATATCCAGGGTTGTGGGTTTGTTGCATACACTTTTCTTAACACCTGTCTCATTGGCAGGAGGTGCAAGAGACAAGTTTTAACAACTCTGGAATCTATAAAGGTTCATCTGTAAGGAAGGGGTAGTGTTGAAGTTGGTAAATGCTACCAAGTATTGGTGTATATACAAAACATTGTTTCTTGCAGGTCATAAAGTAATACAGAAATAAAAGCTTTATAAAAATAGGAAAATAAATACTGTTGTAACTTCCTCAACTCAGAAACAGGTTTTGGCTTATCTCAGAATAGCAGAAATCTTGGCATCGTCTCCCAGTAATGCCCTCTGGCATTCCAAAGACTGTGTCTTCATCTCTGCATTCAACAGCCCCCAGGCACCTCCAGAGGCTCTGTCTGGGTCTATACTTTCAATATTTTTAATAGTACTTGTTTTACTCTCTGCTTTGCCTAACTATGTTTTGATGTCACCTCTATATGGCTTGTATACATATTTAATATTTATCCCATAAATATATATACGTATATATAAATCCACATGATCCTAGAGTAACTAACTCAATAGCTTAATTATATGTGGTGAAAGAGAAAAAAATTTCATTTCCTGAAAACTTGCTCTTAGATAATTTCATGGGACATTCCTGAGTCCTCACCACTGGGAGTAATAGCTAATTGTCTTTCCCTGGTCATCTCCTTTAAGAGTGCATAAACTTCTGTCATACCCTCTCTCCATCCTTTTTATTCTGGGCTGAAAGGCCTAATTTGTTGAAGCTCCATGCAAGACCTGTTATATATCTTTATTATTCTTACCACAACTTGTGATGTGTGTCATTTTTACAAGAGAAGTCCAAGTACCTGCACAATTTATAAATTCACAGAGCAATGCTTCCTGTAGCATTCGCCATCATTTTCTAGTAATTCCTATTTACTTGTTTTCGTTTTTCAGACACATTATAGCAATCAGTTGATTTTTTCATATCAGTCCAAGATTCTTTCTCAAGCATTGTTAGAAATTAGAACAGTACCTCCTGGGCTACATATAGGCCCATAAACTTTAATAGGTGTACTTTGAACTAATTTTCACACTGTGTATTAGTTTGCATCGGCAGATGCCCAGTTTTGCTTGCAATTTCATTATCCTGTTAGACTGGGTAAGATCTGCTATTCCTCATGGTCAGGTTTAGTTTTGAGTACTGCAAAGAACCACTTTTATTATGCACAAAGATTTTAGTTTTTGCTGTTTCATACATGTAGCAACCTCCTTATTCACCACTCTTGCTTCAAAAGAGGTTCTTTCAACACCTAATAGCTTACTCACTACTTGTCATGCACAGTTGTCATTAATCAACTGGAAATGCAGCTATAGACTCAGACCACACTTTGGAAATAGTTTACATTTCTTTGAGTCTGGATTAAAGATGTAACACATGGCATTTTTGCACTAACATCAGCAATAAAAGCACCTTCCTAGTTCAACTCAGCATGTGTAACCAGTTTACCTCTGCTGTTTAAACACTCATTTTATTCATTATATGACCAAAAATACCATACTTGCTTAGCCATTGAGCAAATAATTTTGTCTCCTTCATTATCTTTACATGTATAAAAGTGTCTGAAATAAATACCCAGTCATTTTTATTATGTTCACTTTAATTGCCCTCACAGCCTTTTAAAAAATAAGTCTTATTTTATAGAAAAGTGCCTGAAGTGCTGTTGGCAAGGTCTGGCTAATACATGGTTGTAGGAGCTCAAATCCATGCAGCTGTAGCTTCCATGTCTATTACACAACATTGAATTCTTAAAGTTTACAGAGCCACCATGTCGGGCACAGCTCTGCCTCCTCTCTCCTCACACAGAAGTAATGGGCTCATGTGTCATTTTCAGGGAACATTTTATTTACAAAGAACAAACTTTTCTTGTTTGACATAATTACTTCGTTGCTTTGTCGTCTTTCAGGTTTTTTACAGTAAAATATTAATGTGATAAAAATACTGCTGTAGTTTATGCTGTAGGAGGAAGATCAGGGATTGAGAGGCTGCTCTGTGTGTGAAAACAGCACTCGATGTTCTTTGTAAACTCAACTTGACATAAGGGCTGCAAAGATACTGGTTTATGTC